TTGCGGTACGCGGGCCTCTCACTGTTGTGGCCTCTCCCGTTGCGGAGCACAGGCTCCGGACACGCAGGCTCAGCGGCCATGGCTCACGGGCCCAGCCACTCCACGGCATGTGGGATCTTCCCGGACCAGGGCATGAACCCGTGTCCCCTGCATCGGCAGGTGGACTCTCAACCACTGCGCCACTCTAGGGAAGCTGCACATGTCTTTAATATATGTAATTATGATAAATAACATTGCACCAAGCTGATTCCTGCTTTTAAGAGGAAATGAGATGTAATTTAGCTTGTTCAAATACAAGGTCATTATCAATGAACATTTTAGCCGTGACAGAATTTAGCTGCAGAAGACAAGGTCACGTTCTCCCTCTTGACTTCAAAAGAAATATGTAGTTTACTTCCTTCAAAGTTTGTTTTTTGTCCTGTTCTTTTTCACTTTGCTTGTTTGCAGCTCATAATTTATGTTCTTAAACATTCTATTATGTAAAAAGTCAGGGAAGACATTCTGACAGTGGTAGAATTTCTGGTAGATTATGGAATAGATAGAGAAGGAGAAACTTGAGAGCTGTGAAATGAATGCATTCCAAAAACAGAGTCACAATTATAAACAGTGACAGAAGCATGAACTCAAACGCACAGTCCACTCCACAGAGGGGCCACAGTGCAGCTTTAAAAGTATAATTCAGATTATATCATGCCCATATTTAAAACCCTCCAGTGTTTTTTCTATTGCAGTTAGGTAAAATCAAAACACCTTTCCATTTTGGACCTTTCTCAAAGCCCCAACTCCCTCTGTTTAAACCACCTTGGGTGTTTGTTAATGATGCTTTTGGCTTCATGTAATAGAGAATCTAACTTAAAATATTTCAAACAATAAGGGGACTGTCTCACATAGCAAGACTTGTGTGTGGGAGAGGTGACTTCCAGGATGGTTTATTCAACTGTTCAATTTGTGATTGTGGAGGACACCGTTTCTACTGATCTATCTGCTCTGCCACCTGCAGCATATTTACTAGCCCTCATTGTAGTTGCCAGGTGGCCATTGCAGCCCCAGGACTCACATTCTTACATATCAGCATCCAGCCTCAA